GAACTGGCTAAATGTGTTAACTTGTATGTCTGTAGGCGGAAAGTAATAATGAATACAACAAATTCATCTTACTCTACAAATATAGTTATTCGTTTTTTTGTTTCACCTAGAGTATGTTGTTAAATAGGCGGATTCATACCAGTGATTCGCAAAATATTCTTTTGCTAGTATTGAAGAAATTCCAAATATAAGCTTAAAATTGATGATTAATAAATATTGACAATGAGCTAGCCCATATATTTTCGTACTTTTCATCATGAGCGTATCATTGAAGCCAAAATGCACTCCTCTTTTTATTCAGCTCCGTAATGGTAAATATGAAACTTCAGTTTTTATAGTGAAATATAACATTTTTAGACATACGAGCTTTGTTTAAAACTACAAAAGAATGATAGTATATTATGATTAGTTTACTATAACTGGATTTTGTTATAAACTGTTTTTGAAAGGATGTATTTTACAATAAATAATTGCTTTTCTGTGATTAGCTTAAACCCTAGATTCTATTCTGTTGGTAAACTTCATAATTTAGCCTACAGTAATCAATTCAAGTACTCATCTTTACTATACATAAAAGTTATTTGCAAATTAAGAATAATATTTACAACGGTGGCTATGATGAATCCTCACTCAAATGTCGGAGACAGTATTTTTCCATGTTTGTAGACTGTTCTGATTGATAACTATAATTACCACAAAGCTCAGGACAAATTAAGTATCCCACTATTTCACTTCAAATCTCCAAACCCTGTTTGATAATAGTTAGGATCTATATAGTCTGAATTGAGTCCATTATGAGTCTTATTCACCCAATTAATCTAATCATTTAAACAAATTGAACAATGAAGATTAATTTGGCTAAATAGTTGAGTACTTCAGTTGATAAAGGATTAAAGTTCCATTCTCTTAATGCTAAATCGGCCCACAGTTCATTCATTAAAATCAACCGTGTGCATAAACAAAGACCTTTATTGATATGACCGAAATTTGAAAGTATTTAAATAATTAATGAGATTACACAATATGTCTATGTTGACATTTATTGTTACCCTAATTCGTTAATAATGAGTAATGACACAACCACTACCTTGAATATTCCGTGTACAATATTACATAAGTAGAGGATATATTTGAACCAATGTAATCGATTTTTCACCAATGTTATTTCGAGAACATTAGACACAATGTTTACAATTATAAAGTGTTTGTCAAAATAATACTTTTGCAAGACATTTTGTAGTCTGAAACTAACGTAACAGGTGACCGATTCTATGCTGGTGGGTTTAAAATTAGTCGCAGTAGCACTAACATGATTTTTTCCGTAGATACAAATGGGTAAGGCCCCTGTGGCGGAAGCTAATTCAGTGGTACAACCATACAATTCAATCAAGTTAGTAAGCACCTCCATTCATGAATGGGAAAAGGAGTGACAAAACAGAACGCAGCTCTCCTACTACACTTGGCCGGTGGCGATTATGTATTAGAGTTATTTACCATGTACCTTCTGTTTTTATGTAGGGTGCGATCTTGTCTCCTACACATAACATGAGATATGGTAGTTCTAGTTAACAACCTAGGATTTTTTATTCCTAAGAAATTTGTAATACCTCTTTCTCCTCATTGGTTAAATTAGGTTTGATGAACGATCTTACTTATTATTTACTACATACTTTGTTCGTCTTTCTTTACCATTTTTCCGTACACATTCTTCAGTGTATAATTATTTGAGCACTTCTTGCTATATGATTTCAAGTTTTTTAATGTTTTATTTCAAAGCTTATTTATCTACGTTTTTTCCAAACTTACTATTATAAAACACTAATTAGAGCCTTTATCATTATCACAAATAGTGCTCTCACTATCAATCTGTACTTTATACTTATTATGTTTAGCTATGAGATATATTTCGTTGTTGTCATTAATCCATAAACTCCCATGAGTAACTTAATGTTTTCTATAAAAGCATATAAATATTACTGCATACTAGAGTGAAACTTGATAATCTAATTGAAAACAATATTGTTTGCTTATATGTTTACTTCTAATTTACAGTACGGGGATTTTTGTATTTCTAAGGTCTAAAACCAGTATAACCACTAAATGATGTGCTCCAAGCACTTAGTAAGCTGCACACTATATCAATGTCCTTAATTGACACAGTCGTTTGTTAACGCATCTCGATTTGATCGTACCATAATTTTGGATCAAAGATATGGGACATTGAAGAAAATATGCAGTAGCAAGTTACGCAATACACCATTAAATCAACATCCTTAAGGAAAACCACCTGTTACAATCAGGTCAACTGTTTTCCAATAGTAGGGTCTCGCAAGACAATGCGATTCAAAATACAAAGTACTCAGAAGTGATTTATGTACATAACCGATTACGTCACTCTACATGGGTAAAATTGAGTTAATATATTTTGTTTATATACTCATAACAAAACTTTTACTAGTTATTCGTTGGTCTCCAAACCATTTCATGGAATTGCCATTATAGCTTAGTAATATCGGTATTTTGTCGATTTCCGAAATCTCAATCACTTGACTGATAATTCAGTAAGGTCGACTTTCATTTAATTATAAATATAAAACCTGGTAGACTTTGTATTTTTATTGCAATACATAATATTTTCTCATATTTACAACTATTGAAATATCCATGATTTGAACCTGGGATTTACAATAAATTAAAAATTCTGTTAAAAACTGAATTGATTCATAGGATACAAACCCCAGAAAACTTAAAACTTACTGGTTACTTGGTTTAGTTCGTGACACATTATTTAGTGTAGTTGATAATGAATAATGATGTAATCCACTTGTCAAATACAGATTCATTTACTCAATATTAAGCCAGACATTTTTCATTTAATGCTCAGTGATAGTATCCAGCTTCCTAAACTGAAGTTGGGACGAGGCGATCAATTCAGGGTCATATAGATGGAAATTAAATAACTGAATATTCCAAGTCCATCATTTTTCTTTGTCTACTGATCAAACTACCCTCCATTTAACTGAAAATCTGACCTATTATTTATCTGTAATTGTTTTTTTTTGATAAGCTTTGATGAGATTTAGTAATTTAATGTTTGGAATACATGGACCTAGAGCAATTAGTTATTAATATAATAAGAACTAAACAATAGTAATAATGAATATCATTAGTTTTAATAATGAAAGAATCAAAAGTTGCCTTTCTTCCTGTTTACCAAATCTAATCATCATCCAATATAGGATGCATAAAAAAGAAAAGAGTAAGAGAACAGTGATACAATTTAATTTAATTGCTCATTAAGATATTTGCTTGAACAATATATTTTTATATTCAACGAATTTGTAACATGTCCAAATATGCAAAATGAGCTGTTTCAAACTACAAATTATTGGCCACCATTAATGATATAATTGGCAATATCTGTACAAAATAATAGTAGTAATATAGATGTGTTCACAAGGTTATATCTTTTTACGTGTGTAAATGTAAGATTAACGAAAAAATAAGAAACAAGTACAAGTATGATCGCTGTAAATAAATAGATATTATTACCATATCACACACACAGATATATAAGGGAGCATCAACGATTAATCCATCAAATCCCACACAAATGAAATAATATATCCTCAGAGGATGGTCAAAACTTTTTAACACAACTTGAAATATATTCTATGTTCCTCTTACATGTTATTGTATTTACTGTAAATAATTTGCTCTTATGTAATAAAAGGTTAAATAATTATTTAAAAAACGAAAACTTAAATAGTTCATAAAGTAACTGAAATAATGCAAATTGAACACTTATGAAGAGTGAGAACATGTAACTGGTAATTTAACAATTTTTTTGTTCTTAAAAATACTGGAGAAGATATCATTCACAAAACTTCAACACGAAATAAGATTTTATTTATGCATTTCACTTTTTCTATTCAAACAAACAAAATTAAAATTAAGAAGTACTTAGTATGTGAGCATTTGAGAAAGAAAAACACAACAGGTATAAATCCATTTTCATTATAACCTGTGATGAAATTCACTTAGAATATAATGGATAGATTTTATCTCCAAAGAATAGTTTTATAATAAAAAAAGGAAAGGCGAACTGCCAGAAGAGAAATCAGATTAATTTCAGTAGTGTAATTAGTATCAAAGATAATAAAGCGCTCTACATACATACACACGACCTATTCTTGTACACATATATAGAAGATCAAATCCTATGTTCATAAACTACACAGAGACTAAACGACCAGAAAGAGCACTAGAATACTAAACTAGACAACACGAATGTATATGTATATATATTTACTGGAACTCCATTAAATCATAAAGATTGGAAATGAAAGAGTGACGAATATGGTAGGGAGCACGCGTGCATATGTAAAAATGCCGCTTAAACACAATTCTACTAATGTATCAATGTTGAAGAATTGGAATAGTGAAAATGATTCGTCTTTTATTCATTAGGAGAAAAAGGGGAGAAAGAAAACATTCAATCTACCCCACTCTAACACACACAAACTTCTTATCCTCAGTAATGTTAATTAAGAATATAGTATACTGTAATATGTGATTGTCTAAAAACGGAAACTGTACTATTACATAAGAATCGCAACATACGTGTGGATAATAACAATAATTTTGTTTTTTTATTAATTTGATTGCAAAAATAGTTTTGTGTACTATAGATGAATGAGGTTCTTTATTATTTTAAGAAATTATTAAAAAGAGAGAGCAAAATAAATGAAAGGGTCAAAAAAATACTGTTTCAACCCGTGAAAAGTGAAAACTTGTGTACAAAAACGACGCTATATATATATATATATATATATATATATATATATATATATATATATATATATACGATAGTGCAGAATATAAGAGACCACGAAGTTGTTGTTCACTAGTTTAGTGACCAATCAATCAGTTATCAACAAACATTGAACACTAACCACGCAGATTGACAAGAAAATAATTATAATAATAATAATAACAAAGGTTAAGAGAAGTTCGAAGAGGAACCAATAGAGGATAGAGTGTCATCTTTTAAACTACCAATACAAGAATAAGTGATAGCAGTAACTAATAATAATAGTAATGATAATTATTGTTTTACTTTTGAAATTATAATTTGTGGCATGAAAGCAGAGCGGTAGCGAGCATAGACCAATCTTAGTGCATTTCCACTCCTACAAAAGATAGTATCATAGCTCCATATCTCTAGCCATATCATCCGTGTAGTCTGACATAGAGCTTTCACCATCTGAGGAACTAGACTCAGCTTCTCTATTCTCTTCAGCTTTTAAAGCTTCTTCACTTGCGAAACGTTGGACATATTCTATTTTAAAATGTGAGAAAGAAAATAAGAAAAACACAGAACACTGGTGTGTAAATGAAACTAATGTATTTATTTATTGTTTGATTCTTTTCAACTTCTTACAACCTAGAAGTAATGGTATTCGTTATTAACATTTGGACTCTTTTCTTTATTCAGATTTATGAATGAGAAAAACTGAACGCAAACAGATGTAGATGAGATCATATGAAATGTAAATTATATGAGTACCAAGAAGAAACACTGAAAATTAAACGTCAATTTATCATACGAAAGTTGTGGCCTCGAATTTGAAATGAGCAATAAAATCCATTTAGAAAATATACGATACATTTACAGATTTTATATGGATGCATGAAAACTAGCGAATCCATGAGTAAAATACACCAGTAAATGTGATAGTATGCAATTGTAGAGTCTGTGGAACAATTGAAATTGACGATTTACTACTGATTATTGATTTGAAACTAATAGCCGTAAGATAGGTTCATCTTAAAAGTCAATCACCGATTACTTTACATCTAATTACTTTTTACTTTATTTCACTGATTTTCTCAGTTTTTATTGGTATTAAAGGTATCAGTAATATCATTATTTTTCCCTTCTTGCCAACCTTTGTAAGTTAGATTGCTTTGAAGTATCGCAACTGTGCCAGGTAATATTTAGTTTATATATTCAAAACACTACACAAATAAATATATACTAGTACGCAAAATGATGACAAATGGAAACAAAAGGATATTAGTCACCCTCTTTATATGACTTATAATTAAAAGGGATTTGAAAAATATACATATTTGCAACAGACTAAACGATATTTTGAATTGTTCATTTAAATATACATCCTTTCCATGCACTCAATAGAATTTTGTTAAAAGTCTCCATATTTAAGCCTTTTTTCGACTAATAACCTTCAAAACACTGACTTTAACGAAAAGAATGAGATGAAACTAAAAGTACAACTGAAACTAGGTCAATCAATATACATCATGATCGATTATTAGAAAATAGCTACCAGTAACATTGTCGAAGACCAATCAAATTTTTTTATAAAACTTCCACTGTTATGATCATGCCGTACCTTTATACAATAACAAATAACATAACTTCTTCAACTAAGTACAGGTTCAATGACTCAATTTGAAGGCACGCTTTTCAAGTAGGGTTTTATTGACAATTCCTAGCTGTACAAACTGTAGTTCGCCATCTTGAAACACCCACCTCGATGACTTGGTCATGTTTTAAGATACATTTCAGTCGCTTCCATATTGCGGACTATTTCCACAGCAGAGACTGGGTGGAGAGAGCAAAGTGGTGATCAGTTTGTGACACATTGTTTTTCTAATTACGCTTTTCATAACGGATATGGTTCTCTTTAGGTGAAACGTTTTCCAAGTCATATCATCCGCTTAACCACACTGCTTGTTAAATTTTATTTCAGTTTATTTCTTTATTGATCGTACTACCCTTCACTTGTGTTGCGTATTTTCTGGTCCCCTACTGTACCAGAATTTATGTACTTGAAATATATAACATATGAGTAGTGGATGTATTAACAAAAGATTTACGGTATCAACTTATCAGTCTGAAACATTTACTGGAAAGCTTATGCAAAATTATTGTTGAATTCTGGTTTTGCTTTAAAATTAAAGCCATGATAATGACTGTCTACAGACCAACCTATTTGACTAGTTGCCAGAAAATATTTAAATGTTGGAATCTGTTCGTTACAGTGAAGTTTATTGTCATCAAACGAAATTACCCTAGAACGAGAGCCAAGTGATAACTTGGTTCATTATATAGTGGTACTTTGCAAAGTAGGAAGTATCTCAGGACTCAGTATGCTCGTTACTTATTTCTTCAACATTGTCAATAAAAACTAACATTGATTAGAAGAAATCCTTTACAGCACGACAAACTTATCCAAAGTATATTTTAATGATTAACTATCACTACCAAGTTGACATATACGGATGATAGAAAGAGTCGTTTACTTTTGAAATAGTAATAAATTAACGGTTGCAAAGGTTGAATTTAGGAAGAAATTCAAGACATTGAATGAATAAAGCTTTTTAGGCAATTGATTTGCTTCACAAGTTTAAACAAAGCAAGGACGAAAATATTTGTAGAATACGATAGATTGTAATCATAATTTAGTGAATTGCACTCACATACCCTTTTTGACCTCTTGAACCTTCAAAATCTTGTTTTATTACATAATAAAATTATCCTAACACTAGAACTATTGCCTCAAGTAATTACAAAAAGAACATGCTTTTTACAACTTTGATTCATAATTTCTTTCACATTATATACAACTTATTGACAGTTTATTCCTAATATAATATTAATAACTGAAAATAATTAAACACACTAGCTTTTAGGTGGCTACAGAGCAATGATATAGAATGAATTGATCGTATTCTGCAGATATTGTCATTCTTACTTCGTTTTAGTTATTTTTTGTCAAAAAACGACAAGGTCGGATGAATTTGATGAGGATCAGAATATAATGTCATCTAGAAAAGTAGAGACTCATAACACATGAATAAACACAAAGAGAAACGTGAGGTCGTAAAGTATCTATCATCTGAAAAAGCAACAAATTATGCTAGAATTGTTTTTAACCGTATTAGAGATTAATGGCTCAATACTGATAGTCGGACTTGCTCAGATTATGGAGTACTAATGTAGAAGTTGGTGTTCTCAAGTTGGTCAGGCTGATCGATCAGTTTACAAAAAAAAGACAATTCTATCTTAGCAACTACAAACTAATTGGAATAACAGATTGTTAGATAATATTTGACTTGTTTTAGAGAAAACTAAACTAATAGAACCTAACAGCATGCAGTCTCATAAAAGATGAAGTGATCAGACTTATAAGTCTTAATATCCTAATATATACATGGGTATAAGTACTTCAATTAGTGCATAATTGTGACTAAGGATGTTATTTTAATGTCTAGTAAAGTTGAAAATTACATAGCTAAAGAGTTGCCCCCAAATGCCCTGGTACGGTCGATGGTGGGGAGAGTCAGCTCTCCCTCTGCAGATGCTCTCACATAGCCATGCATATACAGCCACTTCCAGGGAAGTCGTACTCACTGCCTTCGCGTGGTGGTGTTGTTTACGAAATTGAGAGGATGAAAAGCGAACGTCCGGCGCTTTAACCAAGTTGATGGATATGGAGGATCCACCTAGGGGAGCTAGAAAACCCTGATTGCAAACCAATAGTGCACATGGGCTCCAGTAGCCTGAAGCAACGAATGGCGTATGAACCAATCGTTGGTCACCAGCTACCATGGGACTGAATCTCCTGACGTTGCTCCACCGTCTTATGGATCAGACCTTTCGATCGAAGGCTACGAGTGTCTCCCTGAGAAAACCACCTGCTTCGGTTTAGGCACCCAGGCAGTACCACAGCCCACACACAAATCAAGTGACTTGTGTATTACATATATATTTGGTGCCTCCTTGTACCAGTGTTTGTGTTCAAATAAATAAATACGTTAACGAGTTCCATCTAGAACTGATACAGCGAATTGCTACAAAATAGATAGTACTCTCTTTTTTCTTAGTCATAGAATTATTTATGAAAGTAAATTTATGTATGTTTGACTTTTCAAAGATTAATACATATATCTTTTAAGTGCTTCTAACAGGGAAGAATTTTTAAGATGATGAAGCTAACATCTCGTGAAACTATTTGTTAAATGAGTATCACTAAATTAAGTGGTAAATTTATACAATACACAAATTTTTTTCCAATTTTGTTTCGACAACTCATTCATAATGAAAGAGTGAGATATTGAAATCAATGCCTGTCAATCGGAGTTTACAACAGATAGCTAGAGATTTAGAACTCAGTAGACGAATCATAGTTCACATAAAACTATGGGAGATGGTTTTAGGATCCAAAGAAAAAATTACGTGATTCGACATGTTAAATCCTAATTCCGAGAGAAATCTCTCACACACAGTCTTTAAGGTGCATTGATGGTGCAAGAAAAAGCTTATGTACAATAAAGACCTTATGAACCACATGAAAGAGCAAAAACACGTAAAAATCGTTAGTGGGGAGTCGTTCAAGAACTTATTGACTATCTTCATTGTTTTTCAATACATTTCTTTTCACCTTCCTGAAACAAAATATATAGAATTCGAGCTTATGTCTATTTCTGTCAGGCACTACGATGTATGGCTGCCCTCTGCCCCTAACTGTCCTCACAGATGCAAAGTATTAGACAGAGAATTATTGCTACTTCTTTCACATACAGTACAATATTTCCTTCGAACCACAAGTTAGCAGATAGTAAAAAATATTGGCTTTTTGTGATGAAAGTTCGTTTACGGTTAATCTGGTTGAGTTGCCTACTACATTGAGAAAGGATGATCAAGAAAAACTAGAGGATCTACAGTAACTTAACATTACGCATACCAAAACACGTTCTTTTCAACAAAAAAATTAAGCGGGTATCGGTTTACATAACAAACAAGGCTAATTAATAAAAGGTACCATAATATACTGAATTTACAAATTTTGTGAACTGCAATATGTATATCCACGAAGAGAAATGAAGATTAGGATGTATTGAAAAACTTTATGGTTATCTAATGGTTTTTACGCTGCATATCATTAAGATATCGCTACATATTAACAAGAACAACAATTAAGCAGTTATCTGAAAAATATCGGTCAACTGGTGTTTTTCATGCACAATGAACTCTCTCAGCTGGTCGTTGCAAAATTATCAGCTTACCCACCGATATATTGATAAGCCGAAATTCCGGGATAATCATTCGAAGAAATTATTACATACTATTAAATAAGATAGTTGACATACTCTAACAGCAGAAATGTATCGAAACACTCGGCCGCTTATGTACACACTTCTCGTTTAGTCCTAACAACCGATGTCTGGTTTATTGTAGGGAAGTATACAAGATGTATATTTTTAAGCCGTTTAAAATAATTCTGCCGATGATGGCTTTTGTCACAAAAGATTTTAAGTATTGGTAGACAGAGCAATCACTTATCAAAACGACCCACAATATCCAGTATAAATAAACCATAGTCTTGAAGTAAAACGACGTGTTTTACAACAACTATAGACATCGAAAATAAAAAATACGTAAAACTAGGTGTGCTTCCACCTGAACAAACTTAAACCATTTTCCCTATCACGTACTTATATTTAATACATTATGTGAATGTCAGTTCAGAATTTTAGATTTACCACTATATTTCCATTACAAATTAAAGCTACCTTCTAAGCAAATGTACACAGCATATACCATAAATATACTGGAAGTCGAGCTGTATATCCTTAGGGAAATGCAGTGCATAGGACTAACCCATGGGTAACTTAAAAATGAAGGGATGGTGAATTCTGTGAAAGGTTACTGCTCTACTAAAAATAGTAAAATTATAAACCCATTTGACCTAGGCACAGATTTTAGTGCTCCTAGACTATTTTGAGACGTTCTACCGTATCCAAAACAATGCGCTTGGCCAAAAATTATACCAAAATAAGAAGACATGAATAACAACCGAATTTTAAGCATGAATCAGAACAACTAACCTTTTACTTTTGTGACATACTCTGAGGGTTTGAACATAAACAAAGAAGCAGCATCGCTATTAAGTGGATCTGTAGGATTTGGATATGCTAAAAGCTGTGGCAAGAAAGACTCAAAAATATTGGTTAAGTCTAAAATACAGAACATGATCTAAATTACCATAAAGAGCAGACCATTGTTGGTTTATGACATCAAGACAAACTGTACCAGACCTGATGGACAATACAATTTTCTAGTAAAACAACTTACGCTTCATCAATATTCGGGTGGAATATTTTGTTCATGAATCCTGTAATTTCGAATAAACACTTATTACTACTTACCAATTGAGGGAGATTTGAAAGGATATCGTTCGGGAAGATCAACACGAACCTTCCAAATCCCACCCTCGTATGGAGCTAAGCAGTAAAGGTTAGGCATAAAATGAACAACTTTCTGGAGGTCCAAAGAATTTTACCATAAGCTCGTTTAAACCACCTAGTATTGTCACTTCGTACTTACTCTCGATTCTAAATGTGGATTTAACTAATTATCTGATAATAACATACAATTTGACAACATCTGTGTCCATTCTTTTCTTTCCTGGACTAGGAGACGACATCCTTCAATCTTTGGTTGTGAAAATTCAGATCAGTGAAATCAGCTGTGCTTGTAAAGTGAAACTATGGTTCTGCCTGCATATATTCCAGTCGAACTCCTAGCTTGAGTACTTTTTCTTACCCAAAGATTGGTTTTATTCAAAATATTAGCTTTTTTTCACGAAGACGTTGACAGGACTAAAGTCCACAATGTGTAGTTCGATTGCGATCAAGACGTCGTTGTGACGTTAACGCAGCTGATTTCGGAAATATGTAGGTCAAGACTCTAGTTTCTTACACCCCATCATAATAACAAACAGTATGACTGAGTTGTATGAAATAAGGTAGTAAATAATTTTTTATTACCACAGGATAATAATAACTTTATTTTTGTTTAAGTAATCATTTCTTTTGTGGGCGCGCCTTATGAAAATAATTTATTTTATAAGTAGTTCGGTTTTTGATTGTAAGGATGGAAAACCAAATGGTTGTTGTTGGGCATCCTTACTTATTTCAGACTCCTGATATTTTGATCAGAAGCAGTGTCTTGCTGATGCTGGTGAAGCTGAAACCTGACATCGAGTGAACTGCAACCATAATCATTTAACAATTCACATATGTATTCAAGGGTACTCGTTAAACTCAACGCTTCATCAGATCTGTATAAAAAATCCTTTAAAATACCAGATTCCGCACGCACGGTGTTTACCGAGAATTCCTTCGACTCATCCCTAGTCACTTTTAGTATGGTGGAGACTAGGGTTTAATGCTTGTGTAGATCCTAAAGTTTGATGGCTCTCGGATAAGCTAACTTTCCTTCAAGTACATCTATCGAAGGAGCCATATCAGACAGTGATTTACTCGGTAATAATTCCATTGGAAACTCCGCTCCTCGAGAGCTACTGTCGGTCTCAAGCCCGGGTAAAGGAGGAGGGTTGGACATGGAGTTTGCGACCCCATCCCGTAGAAAAATAACTCGCTAAAAAAACGCTTACCAGAAAAAGTAATTCAAACCATTTTAACTCTGCCCTGAAAGTTAAAAGGTCTTCATTTAGAAGAACTATAACGCCTCATGGTGGAAGACGAGTTCCTTCGGAAGCCACGAGGCCGATACCCCTTCTAACAACCAGAGCAAAAATTCTTATAGGTACATGGAACGTCCGAACAATGTGGAAGACCGGGAAGACCAGTCAAATAGCAGCGGAAATGAGGAGATACAACTTGGCAGTACTGGGAATCAGCGAAACCCATTGGACCCAAGCTGGACAGAAAAGGCTAGCCACGGGAGAGATGCTGCTATACTCCGGTCACGAAGAGGAAAACACTCCACACACTCAATGAGTTGCTTTGATGCTGTCCAAAGTAGCACGAAATGCACTTGTAGGATAGTAATCTCACGGATCCAGAATCAGAAGGAAAAAGAAACTACTATGGAGGACAACTGGAAAAGCATCAAAGAAGCATTAACTTCAACGTGTCAAGAGGCTCTGGGTCTCAAGAAGCACCATCATAAGGAATGGATCTCTATAGAAACACTAGACAAGATCAAAGAAAGGAAGAACAAGAAGGCAGCAATTAACAACAGCCGAACACGAGCAGAGAAAGTCCAAGCACAAGCTGAATACACAGAAGCAAACAAGCAAGTGAAGAGGAGCATTAGAAAAGACAAGAAGAAGTACGTGTAAGAACTAGCAATGACGGCAGAAAAAGCTGTAAGGCAAGGAAATATGAAACAGCTTTACGATACAACGAAGAAACTATCAGGGAAATACAGTAAACCAGAGAGACCGGTCAAGGACAAAGAAGGCAAGCCAATCACTGAAATTCAACAACAGCGGAACAGAAGGGTAGAATACTTCGAGAAACTCCTGAATAGGCCGGCTCCAATGAATCCACCAGACATCGAAGCAGCACACACAGATCTCCCTATAGATGTCAATCCACCAACGACGGAAGAAATCAGAATGGCCGTCAGACAAATCAAGAGGGGGAAAGCAGAAGGACCTGACAACATACCAGCTGAAGAACTGAAGCCAGACATCGAAGTAACTACAAACATGCTTCACCTTATATTCAGAAAGATTTGGGAGGAGGAACAAGTGCCAATCGACTGGAAAGAAGGACACCTCGTCAAGATTCCAAAGAAAGGAGATCTGAGCAAATGTGAAAACTACAGAGGCATCACACTACTGTCAATACCAGGGAAAGTCTTCAACAGAGTGTTGCTGAACCGGATGAAGGATGCAGTAGATGCCCAACTTCGAGATCAACAAGCTGGATTCCGAAAGGATCGGTCGTGCACAGACCAAATTGCAACACTACGGATCATCGTCGAACAATCAGTTGAGTGGAACTCATCATTATACATCAACTTCATTGATTATGAAAAGGCATTCGACAGTGTAGATAGGAGGACATTATGGAAACTTCTTCGACATTACGGAGTTCCTGAGAAGATTGTCAATATTATCCGGAACTCATACGACGGACTACAGTGCAAAGTAGTGCATGGAGGACAGCTGACAGATGCATTCCAAGTAAGGACCGGAGTCAGACAAGGCTGTTTACTCTCTCCCTTCCTCTTTCTTCTGGTGGTCGACTGGATCATGAAGACCTCGACATCTGAGGGAAAACACGGAATACAATGGACAGCTCAGAGCCAATTAGACGATTTGGACTTCGCAGATAACATAGCCCTCCTACCGCATACACACGAACAGATGCAGATGAAGACAGCCAGTGTAGCAGCAGTCTCTGCATCAGTAGGCCTCAGTATACACAAGCGGAAAACCAAGGTTCTCAAATTCAAAACGAGGAACAGCGATCCAATCACTCTTGATGGCGAAACTCTGGAAGATGTAGAATCCTTCACATACCTGGGAAGCATCATCGATGAACAAGGAGGCTCAGATGCAGACGTAAAGGCGAGGATTGGCAAAGCAAGGGTCACATTCCTACAATTGAAGAACATACGGAACTCAAAACAACTTTCAACCAATACCAAAGTGAGAATCTTCAATACGAACGTTAAGGCAGTTCTACTGTATGGAGCTGAAACTTGGAGAACTACAACAACCACAGTCAAGAAAGTACAAGTATTTATAAATAGCTGTCTACGCAAGATACTCAACATCCATTGGCCGGATACCATCAGCAATAGCCTTCTGTGGGAGAGAACAAACCAGCTTCTAGCTGAAGAAGAAATTAGGAAAAAACGATGGAAATGGATAGGACATACAATACGCAAATCGTCAAACTGCATCACAAGGCAAGCCTTAACTTGGAATCCTGAAGGGAAGAGGAAAAGAGGAAAGCCAAGGAACACATTACGTCGGGAAATAGAAGCAGATATGGAAAAGATGAATAACAACTGGAAGGAGCTGGAAAGGATTGCCCAGGACAGGGTTGAATAGAGAATGCTGGTGAGCGACCTATGCTCCTTCACGAGGAGTAACAGGCGTAAGTAAGTAATTCCATCGAAAATTTTACAGTCATATAACAAACACCTAGTCCTAAGTTTGTGAAGTTTTGATCTGTCTCATTCTCAAAAATGGAGAAAAGTGACTGCGCGAATGTTGATCAAACGTCTTCAAGTAGTTTAACGTTTGTAGGAAACTCATACACCCGTCCGTATCATAAGAGTAATAGACTTATTGTACGTAATCTCTATTCATGTTTGAACTTCACGGTTCTATTGATCTGTAACGATAAATAAATCCCAAAATAAATAGCTCCGTAAGTCTTCGACATTTGATGCTGACCCATTGGTCTTGATGGACTTACCTAGCTGAGGAGCTCGTTCATGCATCCGCACCAGATCACAAGTGGGTACACCGGGCTACGCATCACTTTCAACTACCAGCCATCCTAGGCCAAACGTTCCCTCGACATACCGATAGCCTTCCAAATATATCTTCTAACTCCTTCATTCCTGACTGCTGACTAGACTGGGTTAGCATACTTCGATCGTAAAAGTGGTACCGATAAAGGTGTTGTCAAACTTCGAATAGCTGTAGCATCATTAAACTGAACAGACTTTTTGAGTCTCCTTAGGAGGCCAGTGTCCAATTATAGGGAGGCTAAATTACCTTACATCCAATATTCGGCTGTTAACAAAGGAAGCTACATGCAAAGTTGTAAATGCTTTTATACTTAGAGGCTTGACATTCTTTGAGCATTTCTCAGAGTTCTAAAACCTGAAAACGTCAATGCTCTGCAATGAGCAATTGTTTTCGAATATTGGCTGATGATAAACACTAAATTGATGTGTCTATGTAAAAACGGTAGTTTGGTGTTACTCAACACTTACCTATTCTATATCCGCCGTAATTCTCTTAAAGGTTTTATTTGGCATTTGACAATTCCGCTAACATATTCAGATTTTTATAAATCTCTGCGAAGTCCCTTTTCTATTCCCTACTTGAGCAGAAAAAATCAAATAAAAACATAACAGTTTAACTACTTTTCCTCACTTAGCCTCGTGACATTGTAAAGCACTTGATGAAACATTGATAAACATCCTAAGATCTTAAAATGTGGACGGAAATATATCCACTAATAAAAGAACAAGGAAAATGTCGATGGCAACTGACCAAAGAAGGTCTGCCTGGGAAGTGTTTCTCCCTCTTTCAGGTTTTAATTTGCGCCACCTATCAATAACGTATTATCTATCATTACTCAGTGCCCAAAAAGTACCAGGGAACAAGTTGTAACAGCTTAGGTTGGTTGGTTAAGAGTTGACCCCAAACAACCAAGCATATGCCAAAACAGTATTGTTCAAGTATCCATTCACTTCCTTGTTTTGTATAAGCGTTATATTCCCTATTATCTTATATTGAATGTTGAGAGCCTTTGTTTGTCTGAACAGACAATCCCACGCTCCACTGTGACCGCGCTAAGATCGAAATAAAGACCTATTCACTACTTGTCTGGTTTCTTCTATCAATAACACGAGGGTTACTTTAAGGCACGAAATTGGTGAGCCCTTTTTGAACACAAATTTAACCTCATTTCTGTTATTAAC